GGAACACTTGTCTTCTGTCAAGCAAAGTTTATGATTTTTACAACTGAGAGTTCAGAAATTGTACCTAAAAGCAACATTAATATATCCCATCTCAATCTGATGGATAACATTCTGGAATCAAGTCAAAGCATAGAAAAACATGTAAGTTATTAAATGATGAATATTTCAACCTTCAATGAGTTAATTTCCTAAAGATTTAAGCTTTGTTCTTGCATGTTGAGCTAAAGACATGTGTGAAATCAATAAAGCATGATCATTTCTATCAATCATTATAGAAACCGGTGACATGATAAGTGAAGTAATTATCTCAATTACATGAGGACTGTATTGTGATTACAGGACACTGGCAGATATGTTAGTCAAGCACCTGTAGACATGGAGTTTTCAGAAGTACGAAGCTGTTTGGAGATGGTCCATGGGCACTGGTCTACATTATATGATGCCTCCTCTGAAGGTGCTGGTCTGTTAAGACACCTCTCCCTCCACAGAGGACGTTGTCCAGACACCCTCTCAACTCATTAATCCTTAGCCTAGTCAGCCCCCCCCCCAATAGGCTCTTAGTACAATTTATTTAATTTCCAGGGTTTTGGGTATTCTGTGAAGCTTGAAATTGTTAAGGATGCTTAAGATGAATGGCTAAATGTTTAATTTAATTTTGCTTAAGGCACTAGATTTACAAAGTCATTAACACATATTTAAAAAGAGCTTCTCCACTTAGTTTTCTTGTATTGTCAGTCAATTCTAATCACTAGCCAGAGGAAAGTCCAGCCCAGAACAACAATGGAGAAGAGCTTTTAGGGGGCTGATGTCACTCTCATCAATTGAGTTCTGAAGATCTTTCTAGAAACTCCATGAGCTATCCTTCCTGACTCAGCTTTGAAAAACCTATTTATTTTTTTTTTTTATTTATGAGGGGCAGTCTCTTTAAATAAAAACCAAACTACTTTTACATTTTGAAAGCATACCCCAATACTGCTTAATATTTGCCTTTTTGGAATTATGTATTTTTCTCCTTCAGTATTTGAGAGTTTTATTAGCAGCAGTTTGTGCTTTTTTTCCCCCAAATTGGAGAATGAACAGGAATGGAAAAATCAATCACATAAAGTCAAACTGAATATAAAGACAGATCGATATAAAGGATGCCATCAAAATATATAGGCCTATATGTGACAAAATTCTGGAGAAGGTGGGAGGGTGATTCAAAGTTACTTTCTCCTAAAGTAAAATGCATGATCTGTAAGCAAAATGGACTAATAAACTTAGTCTTTCTCAGTGGCGATGCTAATTATAATGCAGGGCCTTCAAAATCATACCCCCATTAAGAAGAGATTTATCATTAAATCATTTGTCTTCTATATTGCATCAGGCTCTGGACTTAACTAATCAGCAAAAGATCACAGATGCCTAGGACAACTTATCAATTATCTAGAGTTCTTTTCTATTTTTATTAAGAGGGATGAATAATATGAGAATTCAATTAGGTCTGAAAACAGAACCATTTACAGAAAAAGAAAATAAAAACGTTCTATAGAGTTTTCACTGAGTAAAGTTTCAACTGCCTACAATCTGTCCTGTGAATTCCTATGTTCATGGCATTATAAAATGCAAAGAGGTCGGTTGGTCATTTCTTTTCATTGTATCTGTTAAACACAATTTTACTGAATTTTTAAAAATTATATATATTTATTTATATCTTTATAATGATAAAATAATCTCCATGTTTCTATATGTTTTTCTGCCTTTATACAATCTGTGCAGACCTAGGTGCCGGGTGCTGTTCCTGCCTTCACCTTCCTATGGAAGTCAGTAGATGCCTCCTTTCATGGCCCAAGTAGCAGATAATTTAAACTTTGCTGACCACATATGGTTTCTAAGGTACTTGCTTCATTTTCTGAAAGCAGTATGAGCAAGACTTCAGCACATGGGTGTGGCTACAATCAAATAAAGCTTAGAGTGATGCAATCATTAATTTCCCATAATTTCATGTGTCACAAAATATTGTTCCTTCTATTTCAAAAATTACTTGAGAAACATTTTAGCTAAGTACTATATAAAAACAGGACCGTGAGCCTCCCTGGGGGCCCAGGGATTAGCCTCAGCATTATGCAGCTATGGGCCAGCCACTGTGGCCTGAGTTCTATCCCCAGCCAGGGAGCAATCCACATGGCAAGGCAGACCTCTCCTGTCTCACCCGCTGCTCCCCTCAGCAGTGTATTTCAATACATCTCCCTGTTCTGCTCCCCATTCTGTCTCTGGTGAAACGTCTTACCCCCTGCACTTAAGGCCTACACCCCAGTTCTTGTATACATAAATAAACAAAAAAAAATCCTTAAAAAAACAAACAAAAAAAAAAAAACACCACCTGATTGAGTTCAGCCTTTGGGCTACAGTTTGCTGACCTGTGGCTCTTAGTATTAAAAAGGGGAATTTCTCTAGAGATGACATACTTCTACATAATGCTCCCCTACCCCCTGAAGTCTCATAGACCTCTCTCTTAGAGAAATTTTAAGGATTCGTTGTCAAGTTTCTATTTCACCAAAAGATATTTACCATTTGCTATCTTAGTAGACTTGGCTCCAAATTTAGATAATTAATTCTAAGAAATGGGAGGGGGGTGGGCAGGATAAAATGGAACTGTTTGCAGTTGGCCAGGGAACTCTAGTGTGATTTTTGTTGCTTCCATTTGAGAAAAGGCAACAGCTTAAGGCAACCTAAGATGTATTAAGAAATCTCAGCCCCTATAACTAATGTGAATCTACACGGAAACAATATTCTTGGCACTGCTTTTGCAATTAAGATATGCATCCACTAAAGTTGAAGATATGCTGTGTGTTTTTACTTAAATAAGTCACCACCTCAGCTCAGGAGTCGAAACTTGTAAGTAGCACCTGAAGAATTCTGAGATGCAACGTTTTTAAGTAGTTTGCCCAAGAGCACAGAGGTAGTCTCCAACCAAGTTTTGCTGTGATTCCAAAATAAATGCTCTTTCCTCTATAAACTGACTCCAAGGATAGGGTATTTTCTTCCATTTTCTCAGAAGGAAGTAGGAAACTAAGCATTTAGCCTCTAGTTCACAAGTAATTAGTGACAATTTAATTGGAATTTAAAGTGTTTTCACTGCATTAATAAATAATTAACACCAATATAGAAACAGCTTTGCTCTGCTGGAGAATTGAGCATTTTAGCAGATAAGCTTTGCACAGAACCAGTTTAACAAGTGGTAGTGCCCTGCAGAAGTATTTCTTGTTTCCATCAGCATGAAAGTACCAGGTTTATTTGCTTGTCTTATGCCTGAAGTCAGAGAGACAGCCACTGCTCTTGGGTTGAAAACCGTTTCCACAACCAGGTTGCGAAAAGTGAACTAGAAGACATTATGGTTCACAGCAGTGATGCAGTTTCTATAAATGGGAGCCCTGATGAGTACCCCCACCCCTCACACACACCCATTCTCTATCCTCTCCTTAAGCATGTAAATCAGGTTACATGATGACAAGTAGTTATTATAGCTTCAATAGCTTAATTTTGCCAGTCACACAAAGGCAAATATGAAACCCTAAATTTTCATCTTATGCTCACAGTAGTCTCCCAAGCTCATGGTATAAAACTATATTTATTAATTTATTAAAATTACAAAAATAATTAAGGACAAAAGAAAAAAAAACATAGAAGCAGATTCATTGTTCTGCTGTCAAACAACCTAAATACAAGAAATCTTGAAATAATAAAATTGGTGATTTTTGTGTCAGAATGTTTGAGGAAAATGTATATTGTATTAAGGAAAATGTATATTGTATACCTCACCTTGTTATGTTTCTACTCTGGAATACAAAAAAAAATGAGGTCACTTTCTACAGTAAAACTTTTTTTTCAGAAAAAAACAGCTGTAGGTGAGGAATTTGTCCCCTGTTCTTTTAAGAAAGGAAACTAAAATAAGGACAAATTTTAAATATGACTTGGGATGGAAATGCACTCTTTCTGAAAACCCAAATCCCTCACACATGGTAATAAGTACCTCTAGAGGCAATAGGATTTAATTTGATTTGTACTGGTTGATTTTGTACTACACTGGCAAATGCAGAAAATCAGCAAGGACAGACTTATTTATACTTTGCATAATTTCATTCAAGATTTTCAAAAGGAAATAATGAAGCAAGTCAAAATAATGTATTAAGGATGAGGGAAAATTAAACATAGTCAATATTTTGTTGTCTCTTTCATTCTCATAGATGCAGAAAATAAGTCACATGATGTCACACAATCCCCCATATTCCACCTTTTGAAGATTTTCATTTTCCTAATTAAATCTTGCATGCCATTAATCAAGTGCTAAGTGCTTCATAAATATAAAAATATGCCTGTTTTACTTTGTTCTTTCAATTTTGCTCATTCTGTAGGCAGAGGGGAAAATTCTCTTCCCAGGTGAATGGTAACAAATACTTTCTCTGTTTGGCACCACATCAATTCCCATTTGTCTGAGAGAAAGGGGCAGTCTAAGGTACGAATCACATTCATTTCAATCTATTATTGCCTTTATACTCAGGAAGCTGAGAAGACTGATTAAATTACCCACAGTTCCACAAAGCACCTCACTTACAATTTCCTGACTTTATGAACACACCATATTTTACACGTCTCAGCCAATTAACAAGCTTCAGTCAGTCAGGCAATCAACAAACATTAATATCGCTAAGAGCTAATTAATTTTTCAACTACATATTCAAAAATCGGTAAAATCTTCATTTCCTTGTATCTTTGAACCTTAGTGTTGAGCTCACACACTTAATTGTTTGAACCAAGAAAATATAAATCCTCTATCACATAATTATTATACAGAGGAATCGTTTTCTTATTCTGAAAATGGGGTGAAGAACTTAGTTGGATTTAAATATCTTGCATGTATGCAAGCAGATGTCACACTGTATAACATTTATAGACAGATTTTGTTCAGGTTAAGATGCTATAGATTTTTTTATGTATAATTATCATTATCAGGTTCTTACCTGGAACGGTTTTTGTCATTGTTACATGAACAAATCCTTGTCCTTAAGCAGCCAAATTTTGGCAGACTTGAAATTAGTTCAGTTTGAGATTCTTGCCATACCATCTCTACAGGATCAAATAAAGGCCCCCATCTGAGGCAGGGTCTGTGCAAGCACATCTGTCCCTTTGGAAGCACGTGACCAGAAGCCAAAAGCCATCAGAGAAGATTAGTGTGGTCTGGAAGCTCTCCCTGCGGCATTTCGTTTCTTCCTGAGGTCAAAACAGAGCTAAGAATGAGCTAGAAAATAAGCTCATATCTTTGCAAACAAGGATTGTAGAGGGAAAAACATATAATAATATGGCTCCGGGTCCCTGGGGAGAGAAGGCCTTGACAGTCAACCTGTCAAGTTCAGCAGGCTTATCTGCCTCCCGGCACCTGCTGAAATCAGCTCCCAGGTTTGCCAAGTAAGCCTTCTCATGCTAATTTCATGTCCCATTGGGGACACCTCCTTTGAAGAGATAGTTCCCCAAGTAAATTGTTAAATTGAATCATACGGCCCACAAATGGATCTCAAGTGAGTTTCAGCTCCATGAGTCACCCTTTCACCCAAGGATGAGCAAATTCTGTTTTTATTTTTTTTTCTTTTCTTTTGACAGCCAAAAAGAACCATTCGAAAGCAGTTCATTCTTTAGGAAAAGGTGGTAGCAGCAGACATGCTCCCTCTGTTACCTTGTTTTTCTTCTTTGTGAAATGCACATAAATGTTGCATTGGCCTGTACATGACTCAAGCAGTATTTGGTGCTTCTATGAAGAGTGTATGATTGTGTCATATGACTAGTCCCTGCACCTGTGTTTTCACCAAATTCATCCGCCCTATTACCTGATGCCCTGATGATCGCGTCCAGGTCTACAGACAGGCATCGGGACAGACTGAAGGGCACTCGCTAATCACAGGGCAAAGCGGACGTTACCAAGCCATGAATTATTGCTCTGCATCCCAGAGGCAGACAGGGTCAGACTACTCAGCTCTTGAAGTTACATTAAGGATTTGGGCTCTTATCCCAGAAGCCCCAGGAAGTCCTCTAAGGGTTTTTACCAGGGAGTGACACAATCACATTTTTATTTTGAAAAGATAATTCTGGCTGAGTATGAAGAATGGCTGAGTGTTGAAAAAAGCAAAGTCCTTAATGATTTGGGAAATTGCCTGGAGAGACAGCAAAGGGGAAGGGTAGGCTGGACTGTCTCTGCATAAGCTTCTATTAAAGACATGTTAGTGCCTAAGCAGCGCTGACCTTGGTGAATTTATCACTGCTTCACTTGCCCAGTGAGAACCAGGTTGACTGAGCTCAATTTTTGGGAGGGAGGTTTCATGCAAAAATCAAGAAAATCTCAAAAAGGAAAAAGCAGAGGTGATCATTGTCCCCATTTCTTCAGAAAAAGGTTCCAATTATGCAGGTGGTTTTCCCAAGTGACAAAGAGAGTGAGGGATTCAAATGAGACTCAAGCATCCTCTTATATGATCCTCAAGGCCATGCTGTTTCATCGCTGCACTTGGCCTTCCACTGAGAAACTCAGTTGCCATGGGCCGGGTGACCCCCTATAAATCAAGTACACATGAAACACACACACACACAGGCTCAAACCATATGCATGTATACACACACAATCTTAAATCTCACACACACACACACCCAGGCTCACACCATATGCATGTATACACATACAATCTCAGTATATTTGGTGGACAAATTACTTCTGGAAACTTCTGGAGTTTCTGGCAGATCCATCTATCTATATATCTATCTGGCATATATGTGTATATAGATAGATATACTATCAGTATATTTGATAGTTGAATTATTCATGGACTTTAAGTTTCTGGCAGAGAAATCCCTAGGGAGGTCAGCAGAAGGTCAACTCCACTCTATTACTGAGGCTACCATGTTAACTTTGACACTCTCCCCAAGCCAGAGGTGATATTTCCTTCCCAAGTAATCATATTTTATCTAAAAGTATTTGCCACTGTAATAAAAACTCTCACTGTTTTCTCTTTGATGTGCCACTTTTGCAATTTTCACTAACATACAAGATGAGTATCAACCAAATCCTCTACCTGTGACTCAGACGTGTCTGTCCAGTAGGTATAGATTAGCTCATCGTGGAATGCAAGTGAGTGAAATGTGGGTGTGCTCACGATGCCAACATTAACTAGTAAGAATGTATATTACACCTGCTTTCAACAACATCTGACGTTACTCTTTGACATATCATCAGCCATGTCTGTGTCAAGTCATTATCTGCAGATTAAATAAATACTCTTTCATTGAAAGAGAGCGTAATTTTTAAAATTGCCAATTATCCTTTCCTTTGAAACCTTTAACCACATGAGCTAAGTAATTTTCATTTTATAACTTCCCAATAACTCACTATAGGCCTGAAATCACTGTGGAGGCCATAGGAGAAAGTGAACACTAGAGAGTAAAAGGTGAATGTTAGTGTCAGTAGCCACTAACTCAACAAAGTCATCACAATGGAAGAGGCATCTTCAGAGCCTGTCAGGAGGTGGTGAAAGAAGAAGGGAAGGGACTCATTTGCTCTCCAGATGGCACAAATGACTGCCTGCTCAGAGACAGGCTGTGCCATCTCTCAGCCCCCTGCGCCCTGTGCAGAGACGAATTAGGTAGTCAAGCCCCATCCTGTTCCCTCCACTGGATGTACTGATCATCCTTTAAGAAGGTTAATCTCAGGAATGTCGAGTGAATTTACTGTCAATGTAATATTGATGTTTCAATTACTTTTAAAAAGTAAAAATGGAGAACATCAGATAATACAAGGACTTTGTTTTCACATCTTGGTTGCAAGCTGAGTTCAGTTCTAGCTAAGTAGATTGTTGGCAACTGAAACTGAGATCTAGAAGAATAGGGAATTTGTAACCAAAAGGCCAGGAATCTTGTCATGGCAGATTCATGTATTAATTTTTCCATAGACAAGTCATGATCTTGCAAAATCTTTATTTCATAAAATGGGGAAAATAATGTTAACTCGCAAGACTTATTTTTGACAAGAGGTTTGTGAGTTATAAAAGGTTTACAAATGCTTTTTGTATTATAGCAACCAAGTGAAATAACTGGATTATACTTTCTCCCTACATCAGTCATCTCCAATATCTCAGATCATGTTACACTACCAATAAAATACCTTTGATTTTGTATTTAAAAAAATAAAGTATGTGAACAGCTATCACCAGTTTATCATCAACAACACAGAAAATCAAGGTTATTAGTAGTAGTGATAGTGGATGTATGCACATTTCAAATTATTTCCTAGATACTTGTATCTTTTTGACCAATTTCTTACGCAACCTGATAATTTTTTATTGATTATTTTATCTTATAATGGGGACACAAAAGGGTTTGTATCGGGAATGTAAGTATCACTTCTGCCATTTTCTTGGTGTTGGTGTTAATATTTTTACGTTGACATTTATGACAATTTTCTTTGTAAGACTCTTTAGCCAAGGCCTCCCCGGTGGTGCAGCAGGTTGAGTGTGGGTTTGATTCCTGGCTAGCCCGGGAGAAACCCACATGGCACGGCTGACGTCTCCTGTCTCGCCCGCTGCTCCCATCAGCAGTGTACTTTGGTCCTTATGCCTGTTCTGTTCCCCACTCTGTCTCTGGTGAATCCTCTCACCCTCCTGCACATCTGGCCTGTACCCCAGTTCTTGTATAAATAAATAAATCTTAAAAAAAGACTCTAGCTACTTTTCATTCAACAGAAACATAACAGAGTTAATAGATAAATAAAAGGTCTACTGTCAACCCTTCAGCTCTTCTTGGGATATTGGCCATAAATGTAAAACTATAATATGTAGGCAAAATGCAGGGCACAGTTTGTATGCAGATGACTGAATAAAGTCTAATTTATTTCTATTTTTTAGATAAAAATGAACAGAGGGGATTAAATTTTTCTTCCCAAGTTTCATATTCCACATTCATATACTGTGAGGATCATGTGAGTGAGGCTAATGAGTGATATTAAGTAAATCAATGCATCTTCATTTAAAAAAAAATAGTCACTTATTTTCTCACATGATTATTTGCACTCATTTCATCACTAAAGACTTCAATAGTATACGAAGAAGATGAATTAAAAGTTCTTGCGATTTCCTATCTGATGCATAGCTCTTTATGAGACAATTATCACGAAAAACTTTCAAAGATATCTTTGATGTTTGCAATTTTCACAATAATACCAGATTATTAAAAATGACTAAGAATTGATGAAGTGTTCACTTAGGTGAGATTTTTTATAACAACAACAAAGATGGAAAATTTTGCTAGCTTATGTTAAGGGCAACACAAAAGCCGATGTCATACAACAGGTGTTTTAGAATACAATAAGAGATTTATGGAGGTTCATCTTGCTTATCTATAAGCTCTCAGGCAGGGTTATCTGTTAAACGGTAATTGTTAGTACTTGGCACATACACATTCTGTAAATATTGGTGGATTTGATATTCTGATTTCAGAATCTTGATTTTAAAAATAAAAAGTTTAATGTTTAAATGAATTATGTGAAACAAACTTGGCTATGACCCATAACCACCAGAAGTCCTCACTCCTGCCATGCATGACTCAGACTTCTCTGGAACATTCCAGAACTTCAAATATTCTGACCAATTATCAGACCATATTTTGTTTGGACAATATGTCCACATTATCTATTACACATAAACCTTAAACATAGTTTATTTTAAAGGTAGTCTAACTGAAATTCACTGAGAGGTTTTACTGATTCAAAATACCTCAAACCCTAGGAACTTATTTAGAGGAAGCCATGAAAACTGGGTTTGTTCTTGCTTTGTAACACAAGTGCCTGACTTAGGCTATGACTGTGAGGCATCCAATTCAGAGTGGTATCCACATAAAATTTCTGCTCTTATATTTTATTTTTTTAAGGATTTATTTATTTAATTATGCAAGCACTGGGTACAGTCAGAAGTCTGGTGGGTGAGAGGATTCACCAGAGACAGAGCGGGGAGCAGAACAGGCAGATAGACAAAGTACACTGCTGAGGGGAGCAGCAGGCAGCAGGAGAGGTCTGCGCCATGTGTGACCCTCGCCCAGCGGCCGGGGATTGAACTGAAGCTGCAGAGGCTGCGGGCAGCTTTGCAACCCAGTGCTCAACAGCTGCACCACCGGGTAGGCCCTGCTCTTATATATTAAATTCACTAATAAAGAATACACCTGCATAAACCCCATCCTTGATT